TCTGCAGCAACATCTCTGCAGCAACAGCCTCTCTGCAGCAACATCTCAGCAGCAGCCTCTCTGCAGCAACAGCCTCTCTGCAGCAGCCTCTCAGCAGCAGCCTCTCTGCAGCAACATCTCAGCAGCAGCCTCTCAGCAGCAACCTCTCAGCAGCAACATCTCAGCAGCAGCCTCTCAGCAGTAGCCTCTCAGCAGCAACATCTCAGCAGCAACATCTCAGCAGCAGCCTCTCAGCAGCAACCTCTCAGCAACAGCCTCTCTGCAGCAACATCTCAGCAACAGCCTCTCTGCAGCAACCTCTCAGCAACAGCCTCTCTGCAGCAACATCGCAGCAACATCTCAGCAGCAGCCTCTCTGCAGCAGCCTCTCAGCAACATCTCAGCAGCAACATCTCAGCAGCAGCCTCTCAGCAGCAACCTCTCAGCAACAGCCTCTCTGCAGCAGCCTCTCAGCAACAGCCTCTCTGCAGCAGCCTCTCAGCAACAGCCTCTCTGCAGCAACATCTCAGCAGCAGCCTCTCAGCAGCAGCCTCTCAGCAGCAGCCTCTCTGCAGCAGCCTCTCAGCAGCAGCCTCTCAGCAGCAACCTCTCAGCAGCAGCCTCTCAGCAGCAGCCTCTCAGCAGCAACATCTCAGCAGCAGCCTCTCAGCAGCAACATCTCAGCAGCAGCCTCTCAGCAGCAACATCTCAGCAGCAGCCTCTCAGCAACAGCCTCTCTGCAGCAACATCTCAGCAGCAGCCTCTCAGCAGCAGCCTCTCTGCAGCAGCCTCTCAGCAGCAGCCTCTCTGCAGCAGCCTCTCTGCAGCAGCCTCTCAGCAGCAGCCTCTCAGCAGCATGCCATGTGAGGCTCACCTCACTCTTTGCTTCCTATCACTCACTGTCGCTTCAAAGTCTATTCTTTTTTAACGTCAACCTGAGAAAAGATGAGTCTGGCTCGGGACAAAACTATTCAGTTTGAAAAACGGGCCAACTCGAGAGCGGATGTCTCGACATATCAGGGCCGTGTTCGAGTCCGACATGCAGCTGCTTTCCTGCATGTCACTCCAGACCTTTCAAAATAAAGGCAAGAAGCCCCAAAATAAATCTTTCAAACCAAAATGAAATCACAGCGTAGTCGTTCCTCACTCACCTTGGCCGTCCAATCTTTATTCAGGTAATATATGCATGTGACACAACGGCCGTCACCGTTGGGGTTATCCACATGGCGCACATATCCTGTCCCGTTTCCAGGGTAACACGCCACCATCGCCTAAAGAAGACACGATAAAAAAGGAGCCAGTTCAGTAAAGACAGATTTTTAAGTACCAGATGTGTTTCTGTGAGCAGAGAAGGATGGATCAGTGTCTGAAGAACGTTTCTAACAAAGCTAACAGAACCTGCTTGTCTGCTCAGTGTGTCTTTGGTCCCGCCCACTCTGACGGCTGTTGTTAAGGTCAAAGGTTAAAGACGACGTGGTCAGTGTGGGCGTGTCTGCAGTTTGTAACAAACCAAACAACTCTTCATATCCATCTCAGAACTCGTTGGATAAACAGACGTGAGGAACGACAACAAAAACATCAGAATGTGTCCTGAACGTAACGAGGAGTTCAAATGAAAGAAATCAGAGTTCAAAGTTCAAACCAGAGAAACTTTATAATGTTTAAACCTCACACACACACACACACACACACACACACACACACACACACACACACACACACACACACACACACACACACACACACACACACACACACACACACACACACACACACACACACACACACACACACACACACACGACTTTAGAGGGAAACTAAATCTTGTGGTCTGCGTTTCAAACACACGCCTGCTCTCGGTCTCGTAAACAACAGACGTGCGGCGGCGTGAACCCGTGTGTGTTTACTGAGAGAGGAGCTGAGGCGAGAAGCGAACGTGCTCACATGCAGAGGGCAGATTGAGCCCTCATGCTCCTCTCTAAGCTGTGATAGGACGAACAAAAGGCAAGTTCGTCCACATTCTTCCCAACAGTAACCATGGCAACATTATTATAAACAGCGTCTGCTTTAACCCTACGATGGACATCACAGGAGTTACACATGACCTCTGCTCAGAGGTCTCAATAACAGCACGCCGAGACCCCCCCTGACCCCCCTTCACTGCAGCTGCATCAGGACAACACGAGGCACTGACAGTCACTCCTCAAACTTAAATAAAAGTTGAGTTTATTGGACTTAAGAAAAGTGGCGCTGCAGCACGTGCAGTGAGAGAACGAGCTCATCGTGGGTGTGAAGTCGAGGCAAACAAAGAGGAAGAGGAGCACAGGGGGCGGGGCTACAGCAGAAGCAGAGAGGAGTGAACTGGTGTAAACTTTGACTCCTGGCCTCCCTCCAGAGGGAGCAGTGTTTTAATGGTCGTGCTACGTGCAGAGCGTGAGGGAGGTTGGCTGATCCTCGCCTCCCCCCTTTCCCCCCCTCCGGCTCAGGCTGCAGAAACCAGAGAGGGGAAAACATACTCTGCAAGGGAGAGAGAGTGTGCACGGGACAGGGCTTTTTTTATTTAAAAAAAATAAAATCTTAGTGTGTGAAACTACTCACAGAGTGAATGTAAGGAAGATAACTTTAAAGTCCAGAGGGCCTTAATGTAAGGCATAAAGAACAGTTTCAGCGAGTCTGTGGGGGGGGGGGGGGGGTCATCAGGCTGACAGCAGAGGGGAAAAAACTGTTCTTGATGGACCGCAGCGAGGGGAGGGTCTCATTGTGGGGGTCAGAGGGCTCGGCCACAATCTGCACGCCTCAGGGTCCTGGAGGTGGGTTAGGGTCCTGACTGTGATGGAGGATGGGGGTCTAATGTCCCGCTGCTGATTCTGAACTCCTTAAAACAGAATATCAAGAGGAACAAAGCATGAGACGTTTGTGTCTGCGTGGATAAACTGACTATTAGTAGAGGAACTTGGGCCCCTAAAAGTTGAGAGACCCCTACCCGTGGTAGAACAAAGTACAACCATATTTTTTCACAACCTGAACATGTCTAGTTTATGAAACAGATAGTTGTATAAAAATATTTTACTGCAAAATAACTTTTTTTGGATGTTTTATGCATCTTACCAAAAAACGAAAATAGGTCAAATTAGGGCTTCTCCAAAAGGGACAGCTCTAGCCTTATCACGTGTATCTCTGGGAATCAGAATCAGAATTTCACCGAATTTGAACAAGATGTTCACAGATAGTTATTAGTTACATTTTTTCGTTTTTTGGTAAGATGCATAAAACATCCAAAAAAAGTTATTTTGCAGTAAAATATTTTTATACAACTATCCGTTTCATAAACTAGAAATGTTCAAGTTATGGAAAAAATATGGTTGTGCTTTGTTCTACCACGGGACGGGGTCTCTGGAAAACTAAAGCCTTTTTTGGGGGGAGTTTGTTCCTCTACTATAAAGATGTTTGTTTCAGAAACTAAATTAATTTAGAGGGAAAACAAACCTAACATTAAAATTTACCCAAAGATAAGAGAGACGACCGACAGCAAAGCATTCTCTCTCGTCCAATCACAGCTCAGCATTCTCTCTTGTCCAATCACAGCTCAGCATTCTGTGACGATGTGAAGAGTTCAAGTCCCTCAGATCTGAGACGCCGATCTTTATGTTTCTTTCTGTTTCTGTTTCTTTATGCATGTTCCTCCACGTGTGACTCCGCCTTCAGCTCCGCCTGTGTCAGTGACCCTAAACGCCACGTTCACCCACGGGCCGTAAAGATGGAGACCAGAACGTACAGAGACACAGAGTGACCTCGGCGTTCTTCTTCCTCCTCCTCAAAGTATCACATGATGTCTAACACGGTGTGTGATTGGCTCTGAGGCCCCGTGTTTGTGGCGGCCTTGTTCAGCCTCCAGAGAATCAAACAACGTTATCAAGAGAAAAGAGGAAACGGAAACAAAGACATTAAATCATTATTTGGGCGGAATAGTTTTCCTCCATGTCTGCCAGCGTGAGCCGGCCTCACATTGTGTCTTTGAGCCAGTGATACTCGCCGCCTGATTCAGCTGGTCACAGTCCAGGCGAGTGTTTGCCAAGGCAACGAGGTTAGTGGGTGAGGAAGTCACCTTCTGAGCACACTTTGACCCAGAGGCCGACCACACAGATCTGCTCGTACCCGACATGTCTCCTCAAAACAAGACGACCCGCTGACAGGCGACCTGCTAATGACCTGATGATGATGATGATGATGATGATGGCAGCAGGCTTCAACGTTAACGTTAGCATAGCATGGCTAGACCACACATCGACCTGCCTTCCTACTGGGCTGACTTCAGAAATGAACCACGATTTAAATTACATTTAAAATGCCTAAACTAATGATATGTGATATTTCAGCCATTATCAAAGATTTTACGTTTTATCTTTATATCTGTTTTATAAATCATGACTCCAGAGTTTATCAATAATAATTAAATGTGTTTAAAGGTGGAGGCAGATTAAGATAGGGATGGACCATAATGGTTATGATGACTTTGGAGGTGGAGGACAATATGTCCAGATTACCTGACCCCCCTTTTTAGATTTCAAGATTCAAGGTTGTCTTTATCATCCCTGCCAGAGGGCAATCTGCTTTTTATAAAAGTTGACATGGGCACAGTCCAGCAGTAAAGACCGTTCATTCAATCTAAATGAATTTGTTTTGTTCAGATCACTATGTCAATTCTTCTATCCTGTTTTTCCCAGGTGGATAAATGTGAGCGAGTGCAGAGCCAAGAGGGGCATTCATGAGGCTAAAATATCAAAACACAAAGAGCGCTAAACAAATGCATCTTTTTATTTGCATGACTCCCCAGAGGAAGGTATTGACACAACTGTTAACAATTTAACAACTTTAATTGTAACATCAATAAAATTAAATAAAGTTTAAGTTACATGAAACCTTTGACACCATGTTCTGACAGTAAAGCACTGCTGGAACACGTTACCTTCTTAAAGCTACACAAGGAACCTTGCAGTCCTTTCTTTTAGCCAGGCAGAAGAAAATATGTGTTTGTGTTTTTTAATTCTTGGGGGGTGAGGTTGACTTCTGTAGGACACTTCGTGCAGATGGTGTAAGAACAGCTTTAAAATCTGCTGAAAGAAGAAAAAGATTAATGCTCAGACAAAGTTAGAAAATGTACACTTTTATTTCAGAGGGTCGTCCCAGTTAGTGTTGATCTCCCATATTTTCATTTTGATTGTGCTGTAATATATAAAAGTTTAACTATATCTTTAATGAAAGTTTATCAGGCTGTGTGTCTGCAGCTTGTTCAGGTCCATCACATCTGTATGAGTGATAAAGGACACAAACAGACATTTATGTCCTATTTCTATTATTGTTGCTGTGCACGATTCTATTTGATCATTTAAGGACTCAATCTATAATAATGTGACACCAGACTTTATTTATCTTAGAATTAAAAACATTTGCTCGAGTCAGCGATGTAACACCGAGTCCACCGAGCGGAAGTTTGCATGAAGCGTTTGCATGAAGCGTTTCGGCACGTCTCCATGACAACGGTGTGTGGACAACGGCCGCTATATGACCGACACTGCTCCGTTACTTTTCACGACATGTTTTATATTTTAGGTCGTTCACTTCCTGATCAGACGCGGAGCAAGGAGGATGAGGGTACAAAGACACGATCAGTAGGAGGTTAAACTACAGGGAATAGTATACATTTAGAAAAGAACGCAGAATAAAAACAAACAGAGCTCAGTTTTCCAAACATGCACTAAGACCGCCATCAAGAAGCAAAGTGTCCAACTTACCGGAGCCCGTCGTTTTCCCTCACAGTCGTCTTTGAGTTTCAATCAGGTTTATATTTTCGAGTGGCTTCCTGCGTGGATCACATGACTGACAGGCCAGAAGTCCCTTCAGTTGCATTCAGGCTCCATTGCCTATCCTGACCTGGGATCTGAATTTGACCAGTTGAATTTGAGCAACCTGAATCTTTTTGTTGTTGAAATTATGAAACTTAAATTTTTGCATCTGAATTATAAATTGTTGAATTCAGGACAAATAAATTCAGATATTTTGTTTTCAAAGTAAAATATTTCAATTCTATGAATTCAGTGGCTGGTCAAATAATTATGTCTCTTACTTGCTCCCATAATGTCATCATCATCATCATCATCATCATGACTATCATCATCATCATCATCACCATCATCATCACCATCATGACTATCATCATCATCACCATGACTATCATCATCATCATCATCATCACCATGACTATCATCATCACCATCATCATCATGACTATCATCATCATCATCATCACCATGACTATCATCATCATCATCACCATGACTATCATCATCATCATCACCATCATGACTATCATCATCATCACCATGACTATCATCATCATCACCATCATGACTATCATCATCATCACTATCATCATCATCATCATCACTATCATCATCACCATCATGACTATCATCATCATCACCATCACTATCATCATCATCACCATCATCACTATCATCATCATCACCATGACTATCATCATCATCACCATCATCACTATCATCATCATCACCATGACTATCATCATCACCATCATCATCATCATCATCATCACCATGACTATCATCATCACCATCATCATCATGACTATCATCATCATCATCATCACCATGACTATCATCATCATCACCATGACTATCATCATCATCATCACCATCATGACTATCATCATCATCACCATCATGACTATCATCATCATCACCATCACTATCATCATCATCACCATCATCATCATCATCATCATCACCATCATCACTATCATCATCATCATCATCATCATCATCATCATCATCACTATCATCATCACCATCACTATCATCACCATCATGACTATCATCATCATCACCATCACTATCATCATCATCATCATCATCACCATCATCATCATCATCACCATCATCACTATCATCATCATCATCATCATCATCATCATCACTATCATCATCACCATCACTATCATCACCATCACCATCATCATCACCATTACTATCATCATCATCATCATCATCACCATCATCATCATCATCACCATCACCTCCTCCTCCTCCTCCTCCTCCTCCTCCTCCTCCTCCTCCTCTGGTTATTCGTGGTGTCATGAGTTCAGGTGACTCTTTCAGAACGACTGAAGTATAAAAAGTGATTTAAAGCTGCTGGAGACACTTTGACCCTCCTTCATCTTTTGGCTTCACATTTTGAAAAGTCTGAAAAAGATTTTAGGTTATTGACACCCAGCGACGTGAAGCTCCTGACAGCTCATCGCTTTGTAAACATATAATATATTCATATATTTAATGGTGTCTTACTTTTGTCCTCCCGTTGATCGTGTAGTCCCCCAGGTTTCCGTTGCAGTACCGGATCAGGTCGTCCATGCGGCTCATCAGAAACCGGATCTTCTCGCAGCCGGACTCCCGGCCCTCGATCCACGTGATTTTGTCCCCCCGGATGTCTTTGGTCGAATCACTTTTCTGACTCACCAGCTGTCCGTCCGTGAACTTCCCGGTCTTGTGCAGGGCTTTGACGTTGTCCAGGATCCCCATCCCGGTCTCGTCTCCGAGGAAGTGGTCCACCACGCAGATCCCGTGTTTGTTCATGCAGGGAACGATGTAATCCACGGCCAGTTTCTGTGGGGACGAGCTGCTCTGTCCGTTAGGTGTGGCGGTGTCGTTAGACCCGTCCTCTCCTGGTTTGTCCCCCGGTTTGTCCCCCGGTTTGTCCCCCGGTTTGTCCCCCGGTTTGTCCCCCGGTTTGTCCCCCGGTTTGTCCCCGGGTTCTGTCGGTGAAGCCGTGCTGTCTCCGGTCTTTTCGCGGGGTTTCTCCGGTGCCTTGTGGTCCCCGGGTGGTGCCTTGTGGTCCCCGGGTGGTGCCTTGTGGTCCCCGGGTGGTGCCTTGTGGTCCCCGGGTGGTGCTGGTTTGTCCGCCTCCTTACACAGGAGCTTGTGTTTCTTCCAGTGCTGTTTCTGGTGCTCCTTGCTGCAGTAGAAGGAGCTCCGGCACCTCCCGCACTTCAGGAGGTTTTCCATTTTACCACAAAGTTCACAGAACTGCCTCTCCCGCTCCCGGTCCCGCTCCCGGTCCCGGTCCCGCTCCCGGTCCCGCTCCCGCTCCCGGTCCCGGTCCCGCTCCCGCTCCCGCTCCCGGTCCCGGTCCCGCTCCCGGTCCCGCTCCCGCTCCCGCTCCCGGTCCCGCTCCCGGTCCCGGTCCCGGTCCCGGTCCCGGTCCCGCTCCCGCTCCCGGTCCGCGTCGCTCTGCTCCCTCTCCATGTTGGAGGCTCCTCCGGGAGGGGGGTCCGCGTCGCTCTGCTCCCTCTCCATGTTGGAGGCTCCTCCGGGAGGGGGGGGCTCCTCCGGGAGGGGGGGTGCACTGTGCCTTTAAGACCGATCCTTCACACGCGCCCTGCTAACCGACAACTTTGGAAACGATCCACCGCCTGTGCCACGCTACACCGACTCAACACTCCGCCATATTCCTACCCTTCCCGCCCTTCCTTCCCGCCCTTCCTGCCTCTTCACATGTTGTATCAGTGAAACAACGCGACGGTCGGACTCCCGGGCCGAGCCTTTCGGGCGGCATTTCTGCTGCTTAGCTCCTCCGACGGTACTGCATGGCGCCGCTCGCTCTGTGCTCAGCCTGTCTGAGGTCCTGCCTGCTCTGACGTCAGCACGCAAGCTCTGCCCCCTCCCGCGCTGCCTTCAGGTGCTGTGGGACAGATGAAAGAACTTAAAAGTCCTAAAACGTGTGGAACTAGTTTATCGCTCGTTTAAGTGTCCACAGGTAGAGATCATGTGACAGGTAGAACTCATGTGTGTCCACAGGTAGAGATCATGTGACAGGTAGAACTCATGTGTGTCCACAGGTAGAGATCATGTGACAGGTAGAGCTCATGTGTGTCCACAGGTAAAGATCGTGTGACAGGTAGAGCTCATGTGTGTCCACAGGTAGAGATCGTGTGACAGGTAGAGCTCATGTGTGTCCACAGGTAGAGATCGTGTGACAGGTAGAGCTCATGTGTGTCCACAGGTAGAGATCATGTGACAGGTAGAGCTCATGTGTGTCCACAGGTAAAGATCATGTGACAGGTAGAGATCATGTGTGTCCACAGGTAAAGATCGTGTGACAGGTAGAGCTCATGTGTGTCCACAGGTAGAGATCGTGTGACAGGTAGAGCTCATGTGTGTCCACAGGTAGAGATCATGTGACAGGTAGAGCTCATGTGTGTCCACAGGTAGAGATCATGTGTGAGACAAACGTCATGTTGCTCGATTAAAAGATAATCTGAAAACAAAAACAGGGTCTGCTTGTAAAAAAAATGTAATCCAGATTAAAAGGATCCAGATTTTTAGGATTGGGTAATCCAGTTCACTTTGGTTGTTCACTGACAAACTGGATATGATGAGCCAGATCCAGGAGCAGATTTTTAAAGAATGCCAAATACAGACTACCAGAACTAGAAAAACAAGTCTAAACAAATCTTTTAGACTGTAAACATGTTTGATCTGTTTCATGGTTTTCTCTCTGTAATCAGAGGATTCGGATTTTAGATAAAAGTCCTCAATCCTACGATAAAGTTTAAAATTCACAAACTGGAACTTTGATCAAGATAAAAAAACAGGACTGAAGTATCTGATCTAATCCGATGTCTGGATATAATCCTATTAAATCACTTCAATCCTGTTGGATTACTTTAAAACTATCAAACGGGTGAAGTTTGAAATGTACGATCTTGAAGAAAGCTCCTGAATGCACCACAAGTCATCGTCATTGTGTTGTCCTCATTCCCGGCCTGCATGTGTGAAATTCCTTCCACACAACAAAGAGTGTTTTGAATAAAGAGGTTTCTGTTGTCATGAAGGTTCCTGAAGCTTTCTCTGCAGGTCAGCCGACTTTAATTCACAAAAACAGTCAGATATTATAAAATATAACATTTACATTGAATAAACTTTAGTCTCCATCAATCTGTCTCTGCACTGCCGCTCATCAGGCTTACAGAAGAGGAGGTTTGAGTGACAGGAGGCGGTTTGATTGACAGGAGGCGGTGTGATTGACAGGAGACGGTTTGATTGACAGGAGGCGGTTTGATTGACAGATAGTTGATAGATCCAACCACAGCTCAGAATCCACCCTCATTAAGGTCTTACATTATCTCCACAGTAACATGGACTCTGTCAGTCCTTGTTCTTTTAGATCTTAGCATTCGACACAGACTCCTAGGAGGGATTGTCTGATCCGGTTATCGCTACCTATCTACTAGACAAAGATTCTTTGTCTCCATTGATGGCTTCTCCTCAGACAGACTTGCTGTGACCCTAACCCTAACCCTCGTGTTCCACAGGGCTCAATCCTCGGCCCATTCTTGTTCATTTGTATAATACCCTCATTACGCAGATGATACACAGCTTCATATCTCCTTCTCCCTCGATGATTTGAGCCCGGTAGAAACGCTGGTTTATTTCATCAAGTCTTGTAATTAAACAGAATTCATTATTTTAATGTCAAAGAGACGACACATCACAGCTTACCTAAGTTCCCCAGAGAACAGGCCAGAAACCTTGGTGTCATCATTGATGCTGACCTTAACTTTCAATAACAGATCATCTTATAACCTCTAAAAAGATACGGACCTTCCTATCACGCTGAAAAACTAGTTCAAGCTGCCGTTACAATTATGCGATTGAAATATTCTCTTTTCAGGACTCAGTTTAAAAACAGCAGCTTCTACAGAGTTGAAGCTGCTGTTTTTAAAGTTGGCAGCAGTCAACATAGTCAACACAGAGCAGGCGTCCCTGGAGGAGGAGTTAGTGATCTGCACAGGAGGGAAACTTAATATTTAAATGGTCTATGGTTGGAAATGAAAGATGGTTGAAGTCAGGCTGACTGGGAAAAGTTAGACGAAGCAGTGGAGCAGCTTGGCCAAGGACACATTGGAAATGTGGCTCAGGTAATCAGGTTTAATCTGTCACATAGGGCCCCCTTAGGGATGACTCCTACTGTCACTGCAAACTTTGCACATTTTGAGTCACTGCTGTGATTTAAAGTTTGTCAGCCCTCCGGGGCCCCCTACTGGCCTGGGGCCCCAACAGCTTTCTGCCTGGCCTCTTTTTCTTGATTTGGATCAAAAGTTGGCAATTAAAGGATTCCTCCTCTGGGATACTTTCCTAATATGAGTAAAGATGTTAACTTTCTAATAACAAGTCGGAGGTCAATTTTACCCGTGAGCTCAGAGAGAATCTAACCCTAGAAGAAGAAGAAGAAGAAGAAGAAGAAGAAGAGCATGGAGAGTCTGAGCTGGAGCTATTTATACTTCTGAACAAGGAGGGGGGGGTTATACAATTCCTCCCCCTGTTTGTCTAAAAGAAAGGTGTGTGTGTGTGTGTGTGTGTGTGTGTGTGTGTAAGATGTGTGTGTGTGTGTACAAACAATGGGATCACAGGGTTCGTTATGAGACAGTCCTCATTGTTCTCACTGTCTTTGAAGAGAGTCCAGTTGTTCCTCCAGTTATCTCTCTCTCTCTCTTTCTCTCTAGTGGTAGAGGCCGCTGAGAAAAGAGTCATCAGTATTAACTCATCCATTCACACACATTCACACGCTGATGGTAGAGGCCGCTGAGAAAAGAGTCATCAGTATTAACTCATCCATTCACACACATTCACACGCTGATGGTAGAGGCCACTGAGAAAAGAGTCATCAGTATTAACTCATCCATTCACACACATTCACACGCTGATGGTAGAGGCCACTGAGAAAAGAGTCATCAGTATTAACTCATCCATTCACACACATTCACACGCTGATGGTAGAGGCCGCTGAGTAAAGAGTCCGTCAGTATTAACTCATCCATTCACACATTCACACACTGATGGTAGAGGCCACTGAGAAAAGAGTCATCAGTATTAACTCATCCATTCACACACATTCACACACTGATGGTAGAGGCCGCTGAGTAAAGAGTCCATCAGTATTAACTCATCCATTCACACACATTCACACGCTGATGGTAGAGGCCGCTGAGTAAAGAGTCCGTCAGTATTAACTCATCCATTCACACATTCACACACTGATGGTAGAGGCCGCTGAGTAAAGAGTCATCAGTATTAACTCATCCATTCACACACATTCACACACTGATGGTAGAGGCCGCTGAGTAAAGAGTCCGTCAGTATCAACTCATCCATTCACACACATTCACACGCTGATGGTAGAGGCCGCTGAGTAAAGAGTCATCAGTATTAACTCATCCATTCACACACATTCACACGCTGATGGTAGAGGCCGCTGAGTAAAGAGTCCATCAGTATTAACTCATCCATTCACACACATTCACACGCTGATGGTAGAGGCCACTGAGAAAAGAGTCATCAGTATTAACTCATCCATTCACACACATTCACACGCTGATGGTAGAGGCCGCTGAGTAAAGAGTCATCAGTATTAACTCATCCATTCACACACATTCACACGCTGATGGTAGAGGCCACTGAGAAAAGAGTCATCAGTATTAACTCATCCATTCACACACATTCACACGCTGATGGTAGAGGCCGCTGAGTAAAGAGTCCGTCAGTATTAACTCATCCATTCACACATTCACACACTGATGGTAGAGGCCACTGAGAAAAGAGTCATCAGTATTAACTCATCCATTCACACACATTCACACGCTGATGGTAGAGGCCGCTGAGTAAAGAGTCCGTCAGTATTAACTCATCCATTCACACATTCACACACTGATGGTAGAGGCCGCTGAGTAAAGAGTCATCAGTATTAACTCATCCATTCACACACATTCACACACTGATGGTAGAGGCTGCTGAGTAAAGAGTCATCAGTATTAACTCATCCATTCACACACATTCACACACTGATGGTAGAGGCCGCTGAGTAAAGAGTCCGTCAGTATCAACTCATCCATTCACACACATTCACACGCTGATGGTAGAGGCCGCTGAGTAAAGAGTCATCAGTATTAACTCATCCATTCACACACATTCACACGCTGATGGTAGAGGCCGCTGAGTAAAGAGTCCATCAGTATTAACTCATCCATTCACACACATTCACACGCTGATGGTAGAGGCCGCTGAGTAAAGAGTCATCAGTATTAACTCATCCATTCATACACA